ATTGATTTTTATTGAAAAAACTGGTTCACAAATTAAAAAAAGGAATAAAACAAGAAACCATTAACATGACAACAACTCATGTGCATGATGATGAAAGTCACGTGTACGATGCATTTATGACAACCCCCGATGCATTTATGACAACCCTCGATGCATCAATGACCTGCTACGGGTTGTGTTGTACTATTTATAAAAAAAATAAATGGAATAGGTGGATCACATATGGTAAGCGCGAGAAAAGGGGTATCCGAATTATTTCCCTGCATATCGTGTTTCTTTATTTACAGGGATATGACTTTTATGCCCCTCATAACTAATTTTTCCTAATTTGTAGCATTGCCATTATTACTTTACTTATTAAATTAGATAATTCATTTATTTCAATTAATGGATCGTGTCCATCAGATGCATCAAATCAAACGGTCCTTATCTATTCTTATTTCTTTCACCAAGCATCTTTCTCACAGGAACCAGCCCCTATGTATGTATGTATGTGTATATATGTATGTATTTTACTTATATGTATGTATGTGTATATATATATATGTATATATATATGTATATATATATGTATATATATATGTGTATATATATATATATGTATGTGTGTATATATATATATGTATGTATGTGTATATATATATATATATATATATGTATCTATATATGTATATATATATATATATGTATATATATATATATGTATGTATGTATGTATAGATTTTGGTTCTGGTGAGAATGCGATCTTAGGAGAGAAATGAGAATGAATCTGGTGCTTTAGATTGTGCGATCTAAGGGTCAGGATTGCATCAAAATTAAGTGCAACAAAATGGTTTGAAAATGCATCACGTCGAAATGCATCATAATCCTTTGAAAATGCACTATTTCAAAATCTGAGCGCAGGATGCAATCTGAGTCGCACGATGCATCAGATCCAACGGCTAGATTTCATTCTCATTTCTCTCCACAAGGTGCATTCTTACAGGAACCGGCCCCTGTATGTATATATATATATATATGTATGTATGTATATGTATATATATATATACACACACACACATTTATGAATTATCCATAGTAATTCATAATATTGGAATGAAATTTAACAATATTTTTATCATTTCATATGGTCTTTCAAAAGAAATTTCAGGTGCGCTACCCCCGAACTCACCCCTGGTATATATCATTATATTGTTCATGGTCCTCTCATTTTACGAATATTTTAGATAACTTCTAAGTTGTGGAAATTAATTGTAAAAATGATGAAATTAAAAACTTAATAGTAATATTCTATTTCAAAATACAATTATTATTTCTAATATCTCGCTAGGTCATCATCGATAACGAGAAGCAGCTTGGAGCACATATAGGTACTGGTTAGCATCTAGAAGTAGAGAGCTAGATCTTTGTTGCTTGAGGAACGAGATTAATTAAGATTATGATTGCTGAGTTTTTTTGGTAAGAGTGTTGACGATTTGAACAAGGGCGATGAGTTTCTCCTATTGGACCGTTCTCTACTTCTATAACGCGTTCCATGCTCTCGATCTCTAAAAAATACAGACAAATATAACTTTTCCGTTCTTTGATCACGCACATATTTTTTTGAAAGAGAGATAGAAAATGGTTTTTTGGAGATAAAGCTCTTAGGTACTCTCGTTGAGATCGATCGGTGGAGCCATGATGTCGGACGCTCGATCGCTGTGAACAAAGATCGGCGATGTGCTTGATCAGAAGAGGAAGTGCTAGATTTTTGTGAATGTTAGCTCTTATACCATGATTTAATTTGATAATAATTGGTCTTATTAAATAATAAAAGATACAACCCTAAATATAAAGATTACAAGAGAGAACTCTAATAATCTAAATAGGAGAAGAGTTATAATAACAATACAATTAGGAGATAGTGTAACAAGGGATGAAATTAATAATAATATTCTATTTCTTAATACATCTATCAACGAGGTTCGTTAGGATTAATGTTTGTTCTATTTAATTCGAACAAGTCAATATGTAAATATGCACTAGAAAAAAGGTACCCCCTATGTTCTACAAAAGGGATCCTAGTTTGACCAAGTGTAAAAATATGGAAGTGTTAAATTGTAGTTGACTTCTAATTTTGCCCTTGATGTGATGAGTAAAGTAAAATGTGAAGGATAGATTATTAGAAAAAAAGTATAATGTGATAGGTAGAGTATGAAAAAGTAAGGGTAAAGTTGGTTTTTAATAGAAAGTGAAAGTCTTTTGTTCGTAGTACGTAGAAAAAATGAAATTGGAAGTATATTTTTGACAACAGAGGAAGTAATATTTTGTCACATTGCTAATTTTGTTTTAAAAGGCATCGCTCTAGTGACTCTAAAGTCTTAGATCATGTGTTATGACGACAACCTTGAAGGAGAGCTAACGTTCACGCCCTTGACACTATAAGGTCATGTGGTGGTGTGAGGATGGCTTGACCTCCTTCTTCACACCATTCCCCACCCCAACTCATGTGATAGCCATCACCCCGTGATGGGCTCGATCTCTTCTCCTTCCATGATTTTTTTTAATATTTTAACTAATCAAAATTTAACACATATTTACACTTTATTACTTTCCATCACATCTACCATAACAACATTTTTTATCATTCAGATTATACATCTTTACTTCTTATGAAGCCCTTTATCAAGCTCATCATACCACAAACCCTAACATTTATGGGACACTGCACTTTCTTAATTGGTGCATGATGATGACCATCATTGTCATTTGGATTTAAGATCCCCTTACACTTTTTTTAAAAACCCAATCATAATTTTAAACATATTTACCTCAAACAACTCAAATAATCTATACTTTTGTTCCATTATTTTTTTGTCACGCTTCATTCTAAGCCCCATAACACATACGGAGTACTAATTGTCTAATGGCAGTATGTCACTCACCTGTTTTCGGGGTGCCACGTAGCATTCAATTAAACTCCGTCATAAGACTCATAACATATGACCCAAAGCCAAACCTGAACCTAAGGATACTTCTGCCAAAATAAAACTCCCTCTATCTAAAAAACAACATACTCCCTCCATCCCTAAATAAACTTCCTCTTTCGTTTTTTCTTTATCCCCAAATAAACTTCTCTTTTCCCTTAAAAAACCCCTTTTACCCTTTACTTTTTCATACCCTACCTATCACATCATACATTTTTACTAATAATCTACCTATCACATCTTACTTTTACACATCACATCAAGGGTATTTTTGGAAAGTCAACACAAAAATATCTCTCCCTTAAATCCTCAAAAAGTCAAAAATGGAAGTTTATTTAGGGACGGAGGGAGTAGTTTTTTATTAAAAAAATCATGAAAATATTTATTTGTTTGTATATTTTTCAATAATTATTTGATGATATAAAATATTTTTGTCATTTCTTATTTTACAAACTTTATTACGTAACTTTGAATATATAAAATTATTTATATACCAAAATTTGAATAAAATAAATTTTAAAAAAAAATTAAATTTATGTTCTATTTTACACAATACTCCCACCATCTCTAAAAAATTGTCAAAAATTTGGTCAAATTCTGACATCTTTTAACTGCGAATTATGAATAAAATTGTACTTAGTATTTAGTTGTAACGTAAATTTAATAAAATAATATTTATTTTAAATACTCCGTATAATTTTGAAATATTAAATTTGTATAATATTTAAGTATGACAATCTTTTAAGGACAGAAATCGGAAGATATGACAAATATTTTGGAGCATAGCGATTAAAACAACTCCAGGACACGTGTGGAGCATTGTGAGGATGAAATCACGAGATGTGTCCTAATTGTTACCAAGTCTCCAATTAGTCAATTATGCTCTCCATAGAGTCATGGTCCAACTCAACTTACTATCTCTGCCTCAGTATATTTGTTTAGTTTGACTTTTTCGAATTAAATTTGACAAATTTTAAATATCAAATGCTCTTAATTTATGTTGCATATTTATCTAGATATATAATGTCATTTTATATATTCATCATATATAATATGGAGTACTTTTTAAACTGTTAAAAGAAATTGAAAGAAATTAGAGAAAAATGGGAAAATTAAAATAAACTAGAAAGAATTAGAAAAAATCTAGGAGTTAGAAGAAACGAGAAAGAGTTAAAAAAAACTAGAAGTAAACTTTTTTAAACTAAAAGAATATGCCCTAAATTGAATTTAGATAAATACAACTTCATGAGAGACTCGAATGATACTTGTGGCTGGCTATAGGTGACCCATCCACGACCAGAAAGGAATGGCTCACTTGAAGATTATATTTTATCCAATTTAGGGTAAGTTTGGAAAGTAAGAAAATAATTTTTAAAAAATACTGTAATTCCTAAAAAATGAGTCATTATTTTCCTGAAGTTTCTTTTTCTGTTGTTTGGCTCGAAGTCAGAAAATTATCTACTTTTGTTTGGTTCATTTCAAAAAAAATATTTATCCAGAAAATGTTTAGTCACTAAAACGAGTGATACAAATAGAGAGAAGTGATTCTGCCCACTTCTATCATTAAACAAATTTATCCAACTTTATTCATCAGAGAAATTTTCATTTTAGTTTTTGGAATGGATTTCAAATGAACAATTCATTTGAAACCAATGAGTTGAATGTAACTAGACGAATAGTGAAACTCATTCTGGGCCCTTTTGGATCCCGAGCTAGCTAAGATGATGGCTCCTTCAGGGGCCTCTGGCTCAGGTTCGGGTGAAACCGGCGCCTCGACCCGAACGGAAGTGCGATGTGTCTGGAAACTCGGAATCGTAAATGGATTTGAAAGCATATTACAATCAAAATAGATTCTATTGAGAATAGAGGATGAAAGAAGCAGACTGCAGAGCAAGAAGACTTGCCTTAAAATGGCAATTGGAGAGATAAAGAGGGTGTTTAGGAATATGTTAGAAAGAATCTTTTTTTGTACAGTTAGAAAGCAACTTTTGAGCTTCTACCTTACCCAAACACAGTGGTGTGCTTGGCAAATGTGTTTCAACTTATAGTTTATGGCTTCAGATGTGCAAAATAACCAAATGGTTTATGGGGAATTATGGCTTATGGTTTTTCCAAGAATCCACCACAACCTCAAACACCCATTAGCTACTACCACAAAAGCTAGCACAAAAATCCAATTTTTTTTTTAAATTTTAAAAACAACACACACACACACACATACATTCATCAAATTAGGATGAGTTTGTAGGTCTCACCTACAGAGCTTTAGCTTTTTGAAGAATGACGATACGTGTGATTTTGGGTAGGGTTTCGTGGCAAGGCAAGTAGGGATGTTTTCAGGTTGTTCAATCCACAACTTGTGAGCAATCGCGCCTTCTTTAAGCTTCTCTGACAAATTCACAATCTGGGCCTCGCCTTTAACTTCAAGGGTCACCTTGTGCATGGAGTCAATGTTACTAGGGTCGCAATACCCCAGCGTGTGTGGGTCCGTCATGTGGGACCAGATTGCAGCAACCGAAGCGTGGCATCCTTGCGTGACAATGCTCCCAAGTGGCCACTCGTCGATCAGGTCTCTCCTCAACACCACATACTGAACCAACACGTCATCGGGCAGTGGGCTCCCGGAGGGGCTGCTGCTTGTGACGGAGCTTGAATTGGTAGAAGTGGGTGCTGAAGATTCCATCATCACTTGAGCTGTGAAAGAGCCTTTTTCAGATTTTGAGTTCAATATCGATACTCTAGAACGGAACCTATAACAGCAGTGTTAGAAAGTATTTGTGTTTATCTCTAAAGATGAGAATGAGTGAAGTAATGTAGCCAATTTATCATTGTTTAATCGAGGAAAAATGCTAAAGTTGTCCCACCTTTCACCCCAACTTTCTCATAGATACAAACATTGGACAGTAACAATGTATGTGGATGTGTGTGAGAAGGAGGGTGCCCCTAGCGTAGTTCTGAATGGAGACTTACCTGCCACAAGGTGGGGGGGTTACAATAGGCGAGGTTCGACTCACACGTATATTTTTTGCAAAGCAACCACACGTATATACTACGGAGTATATACTACCGTCATCAGATAACCAATACTCACTCACTCACTTATAGACTAAACCCAAACCTAGTGGACTATCAATAACTCATGTATGCGAAGTAAATAGTAATCGTAGGAAATGCACATATAATACAACAAACCAAATAATAAGTATGGCCTTAAGTGAAGTTTGGCAAGGCTTAAAGACATGAAAGGCAAAATGATCAAATGCATGTGCAATGCAAACAACACCTATAAAATATACGGTATGTCAAATAGAATGGCCATAGAACCGGCCCGATTATCATTAACTGAAATTTAGAGCAAAGAACGCAAGAAATTTACAAAGATAAAGTTAGTTTTTGCCCACGGATTTAATAACGAGTATCTGTCAATTTTTCTATAGTTTGCTCTAAATTTCAGTCTTTGGCCGTTTCCAATAATGTTGCGAGGAGTGAGAGCTGTGCAGTGTAGTGCAAAAGACTAACTACCGCTAGTCGGCTACTTTGGGGATCCAGACATCAAACTTCAAGCTTCTTAAAGTATATCCCCATTCAACGAAACCAGGTGCTAAAAAGAGCTCGTTTTACCACTCCATAAATTGAAATTTGAGTGTTCATCTTTTTCACACCAACTACTGAGCATCTCTGCTTAAAATTTTCTTTTACCTTAACAACAGAAAACAAAATCTACTATGAAACAAATAAATGTAGATTTCTCAAAGTAATAATCTGTTGATAATTTTAACAATCCAAATATACAATTATAATCTAATGCAGGTAGATTGTAATGCCGTAGGTAATGCAAATAGTTTCCAAAAACTAACAAACACTGATTCAAAAAGGTAAAAATTTTAAACATACAGATTAAGTTTAAGAGAACGAGTCCAGTTTAAGATTACATCCAATTTAAGATCTCTAGACTCTAAATTTAAGACTTCTTCAAAGAAAAAGAGTTAAGTTTAAGAGAACGAGTCCATAGTACTGCTGCAGAGTCAGAAATTTTGATCTAAACTGATAAAAAAACATCTACTGATTGAATCAATACGGAATTTCAGTCTCAGTAATGAAGACGGCGAGTGGAACTTGAAATACCTGAGGAGATCGGATGGATATGGAGGGACGGAGAAATGGCGGATTGGAAGCCGGAGCCGGAGAGAAGAAGAAGCCATGGGAGAAATAAGAATTGTAGGAAAAGAAAATTGGAGTTGGGCTTGCCTGCTTGAATGTGGAAGTTAGGGTCCATTTGTTAACCGGCCCAATACTAGCCTTTGATGCAAAGTGTTTCTGTATGTAGGTTCTCATTAGCTTATTATTGATAAACAATTTTAGTTTATAAGTTAGTTATAAATTAAATATTCTTTTGTGGGAATAAGATATATTAAATGGTAGATAAATAATTTACAAATATTCATAATTGGTAATCTCGTCAAAATAGAGAAATGAAAAAACTGTCTTAAAAATAAATAGGCAAGACTTACTTATTTTTTCTAGCTTACAAGCACACATAAACATATCATCAGCTGACTTATAATTAAAAAAATTCTTATAAGTAGTTTTGATCAGCTTATAAGCACAAAGAAACATTCACTATATAAGTTCGATCCAATTTAAAATAACATATTTAATTAGTGTTATTATTTTAAATAAATTTTTAAGGCTGTACAAAAATTTTGAAAATATTAAACTAGAATGTATTATTAGATTTTTTTTTAAATTCTACTCCGTAAAATATAAGGTGAATTTGTTCTCAAACAGGAATATAGTCCTGACCTTTTTTTTTGTGAAAATCTCACCTACATAATTTCATCTTTTTTACATTTAATAGAATTAAAAAATATAATTATTCATCTAATTTTAACGATTTCCATGCAAAACTTGCTAGCCTGACTAGCGTTACACGCAATTACTTCGAAAATCTTGTTAGGGCATTAGAAACTGGTCTATCCGACGTGCACACACAAAGAGAAGGTTGTATCCGAAACCAGAAGATCAGAGTATTTATACCTAAAGTAGGGTTGGGTTGGCCACAGACCAAATTCTTAACCTAAAGAGAAGAGTGTTCGGACCGAGACTCTGCAAATAGGGATGTGCACCGGTCCAAAACCGGACCGGACCGGAACTGGTTAGGACCGGAATGGGAATCAGGATTTTCTTAAGACAGGAGACCGGACCTGTTGGTTACCGGTCCGGACCGGTCCAGACCTGAATATTCCGATCCGGACCGGATTTACCCTAATATGGACCGGATTTGTGGAGTATTTTTTGGTATAAGTCCAAACAAATACAATAATCAAAAGACATAATTCATAAAATCCGATTGGGTTTGAAGCAAATACCTAAAACATAAAAATTTTTATTTGTTCTTACATTTTCTTAGTTCTAAAAAACTAAGAGACTAATATATACAAATCTGAAATTAGAACTAAAATTGAAACTTTAAGTATAAATTCATGCGGAAATAGTGGTAGAAGTTGGCAGCAAGTTTTAGGAATAACCATTGTTAGGAAATAGTAGTAGAAATTGAATTTATACGGTTATACCTCTTCTCCCTATTTTTCCATTTCCGTCACAAGTTGGCAGCAATCCGCAGGGGAGAAAAAGATTCCGGCGAGAAGGCGCTGGCGAGAAGGAGATGCGGCTGACGAAGGGCGAGAAGGCTGACGAAGGGCGACTGGCGACTGGCGAGAACGAGAAGGCTGAGTGGCGAGAACGAGAATACTATGAGATGCTGCTCTGGTCACTGGTCTCTAGACTCTGGTCTTAGGTTTGATTAATTGGACTGGATAATGAATGTTGGGCTTGGATAGTTGGATTAGTGGATAGGAATAATAGGATAGGTATAAAAATTAAAAATAATAATGTATTTAAAAATTCCGGTCTAGACCGGTTATTTCCGGGTTTTAGACCGGACCAGACCAGAACCCGGAATCTATAATTTGTTAAGACTGGAGACCGGACTTGATTGCTCCGGGTCGGTCCGGACCGGTCCATTTCGGTCCGGTTCAGGTCTAATTTTCGGTCCAGACTGGTTTTTGCACACCCCTATCTGCAGACATGGAAAGTCTTGTCGAGCCTTTTCTCCACAGACATTGACTCTATGTGATATTGAGGATTAAGAGATCAAATTATGAAAACTTGATCGAGACTGTAATTAGTTCTTTGACCTTAAATGGTAAACATAAAATATTTATGGAAATATTAGTATTTATACCTAAAGTATGGTGAGTTGTGGAAATATAATGGTTGACTTTTTATAGTTTGACTATAAAACCTAGGGGTGAGCGTGGGATTGTTTTATAAAACCTAGGGGTGAGCGTGGTACGGTATGGTACGGTATTTAGCTCGTACTGATACCGTACCAAATATTTCGGTTCGTTATGGGATTTTACGTTGTACCAATCCCGATCCCGAAGCATCGGTTCGGTATGGTTCGGGATGGTTCGGTATCGGTTTCAGTATGAATCGGGATGAATATATATGTACCTAGTTTACATCATAAAATGTAACAAACCTTTTATTTTTGAAAAATAGAATGTACATTTAACTAAAGAAAGATAAAAAATTTAATAATGAAAAAATAAAATGCAAGAATTGCTTATGAAAGTTCGTTTATATTTCACAAACTAAAGAGAATGAGTGATAACAAAATATTTTTTAAATATTTGTTAATATTCTTATACTCATCTACAAAAATAAAAAACTCTTATTAAAGTGCAACTTAAACCTAATGAAAATAAACTAAATTGTCTATATAAATTTTTTATTTAGTGAAGACATATATAAAAATATAATTATTTTATAATATATTAGTATGTATGTTCGGTTCGGGAATTTCGGTATGGGAAGTAACCTCGTACCGTTCCCAAATACCGGACCGACCGTTCGGTTCGGTACGGTTTGGTTTCTTTTCGGTACTTTATTGGTTCGGTATTTTTCGGTTTGGTATTCTCGGTTTTTTCAGGAAATGTCGGGATCGGTTCGGTCCTTGCTCACCCCTAATAAAACCTACATTATGGTACCACTCAGCGATTTTACTGAACATACAATTTCTTTTGTTGTGTGACTGTACATAGGTAAGAGAGGTGATGGAGCTAATCCGGGAGAGCGCTAAGCCAGAGGGTTTGGGGGTAACGATAGACCTATGAAGAATTAGAAGGAGGTGGTTAGGTAGAACTGAGGACACTTGACTCTTACCGAGGATATAACCTTTTTTTGGACGTAAGAAGATCTAGGATTAGAGTAGTTGAGTAGTCGTTTATTCTTGGGTGCTAGTTTTGTTCATGTTGTGTGTTGTGTTGGCTGGACGTATATCTTCTTCCAGTGGCCTAGTTACCTTATGCCTTTTTCTACTTTGTCCTATTGTCGTACTACTTGATTTTAGTGCTGTTTGAGTTGAGGATCTCCTAGAAACAACCTCTCTACTTTTTGTGGTGGTAAAGCTGCGCACACACCCTCCCCAGACCTTTTTGTAGGATTCATCTAGTTTGTTGTTGTATTTTTTTTACAAAGATCAATAAGGTGTAATTGTACAATCTTGAAATTTTGTAGGACCACATTTTCTGATTTCTTTTTCTTTTTTTTTTCTAAAAATACAATAATACAATTCTTTTCTTGAGACATTAAAAATTTATTAATTTAAAATTTGTGATACATATATGTGTGTGTTTGTCTACATACATACATACATACACACACACACACACACACACACACATATATAGACACATACATACATGATACATACATACATATATGAGAATTTTTTTCTTAATTGGTATACCAATTGGCCATCAACAACGGAATACGATGAATATTGCAACGGATTTGGCCGTTGCAATTCAGACCATTTCTTGTAGTGGTAAAATAAGGAATACACTTCTCTTATTCATTTTACATGATATGTAACTCACAATATTTTCCTCTCTTCCTAACAAATTTCTTTCATACTTTTCACTTTTCAAATATTTTAAAAATTTCGTGAAATTAAAATGTGAAACTATTTGTAAAAGAAAGAAGTCAAAGAACTCATCTTGTAGACAAAATGGCTAAAAGTGTATTGGAAAACGAAAAAAAACAAATACAACATGCATTTACTTTCACAATATATATGAACACTCCTCCAAGGACTAAGCTTGAACTCCAATTGCCAATTTTGCCCTCAGTTCCTTCCTTAGAATTTTCCCTGCTGGAGATTTGGGAACTAAATCTACAAAAAACACCTTCTTTATCCTCTTGTAGAATATCACCTGCAAACACACCAAAAATATTAATTAGTGACATTTATGGTGTTTTATAGATCAGAAAAAAATAACATTTTAATTAAAAATATAAAATAAATAATAAAAAACAATATTAATAATAGATATTTGACCTGTTTAGAGACAAAATCTTTAATTTCTTCCTCGGTGATGACAGATCCATATGATCTAACAACAAATGCAACTGGCACTTCTCCAGATTGCTCATCTTTCATGCTGTAATATATAGAATAAAAAAATGAAAAAATTAAACAACTTTAATCATGTATATTATTATTAATTGAGAAACTTATTCCTTTATTTGGTAAATAGAAGGTCCGAAAAAAGTCATACTAGACTTTGACATATGTTAAAAAAATTAAAGTATCAGTAAAATATTAAAAATACACTAAAATAAGACTTTCATGTTTTTATTCTCAAAATAATACTGCATCTTTTATACTTACGAGACAACAGCAGCATCTGAGATGAGCGGATGATTAAGCAACAAGGCCTCGAGCTCGGCCGGTGCGACTTGATACCCTTTGTACTTTATTAGCTCTTTGAGCCTGTCGACGATGAAAAGTTCATCGTCATCGTCGATATATCCGATGTCTCCTGTATGTAACCAACCTTCTTTGTCTATTGTTCTCTCTGTTGCTTCTATGTCATTTAAATAACCTGTCAAAATCACAATACTTAATTAATTGGTTTTTACACACTTTGCTCTTTTTGAATTGTCCTCACTTCAGAAAAATTAAGATTCTTAGACTTTTAATCACAAGATTGAACTTTTTTTTTTTAATCAAATTCCAGGAACTTAACATCAGAAAATCGTCAGTTCAAAATTTACTATCATTCAATTTAAAAATTTAATTTTCTATGCAAGTCATTGCAAGGCTCAAGTAGACTAACCCCGCATGTACATACAAGAGCGTGTCAAAATACAAAAATACTTTCACTTTCATTTTTAACATTTAACTTTTCCCAAATTATTTCTTTAATTTTCGAGGATGAATTTCTACATTCCAACTTTTAACAAAAGAGGTGACAAATTCAACCCTATAAACAACCACTTCGGATCATTTGTCAACATAAGTAGGCCACATGCCATATATATATGCTACATAATGACTGGTCAATATTTTAATGCCATGAATGACAACTAAACAAAACACTACCAATTAATCAAAACAAAAGCCACATTTGTCATTAGTATCAATATTTTGAAAACCTATAATTAATAATAGAGGATTTTATCTATGTAGAACTAAAATATAGTGAGCTTCCTAATGTAATATCACATATTTTATTTTCTAATGTAGTACCACTGTTCAATGTCGACTGGACATTGTTTAAGTAAATTTCCATCGCCACTAAACATTTTTCAAAGTGAAAGTCCACTGCCACTGGACAATGTTCATGTCACTGGTTTTATTCAAATACTATTTACGTAATAAAAAGTTGTAGATACTACATTGAGAAAAGACATGTTTTAGTACTATTTAATTTAAGTTTCACTTAAAAATATACTGAACTACATTATAAGCAACGCATATATTGCACATATTAAAAAAATACGGAGCAAGGAAGTGTTTCGTTTAACTTATTTTTTCTGCTTACTATTTATTCTTATTATAATCAGATCAGATCAGACAAGAAACAACTTTAATTATAACTGTAATCTGATCAATTAAGTCTAAATTATATCAGATCAAACTAGATTAGATCTTCAAATATGCACATGATATCAGATGAGGCGAACAGAACCCATCCCTAAAGTAAATGAAAATGTTTTCTAATGCGTCTAAAAAAATGGGTTAATTGTGTTGGGAAGTGGGGCCGCATAGTTAATGTAAGATGGGTGAATGAGAATTTACCTTTCATGATTTGGTCTCCCCTAATGCAAATCTCACCGGGTCGATTCCGGGTCAAAGACGCCCCGGTATCCGGATCCAAAATCTTCATTTCCGCATTTCGAACCACCGTCCCACAAGCCCCTGATTTTATCTCGAACGGCTTTTTTGCGAAGGCTAAACACATTGATAGCACAGGTCCTGCTTCCGTCATCCCGTAGCCCTGTGCAAATTAAAGAATACTCCGTTTTAAAGAATCCCATTCAGCCTTAAAAAATTGTTCCATTTTGACTTTCTTGGTCAAATTGTGACACGTCTTAAATACAAATTATCTATAATTTAAAATGATTGAATATTATAAAAAGTTGATGTTTTTCAAAACAATGTTTTTAAAATAATTGAATATTATAAAAATTTGATATTTCAACACTATATTTTAAACTAAACTTATTTTTATTAAATTTAAATTACAACTAAAAAAGAATGCCAGAATTTCACCAAAAAGTCTAACGATGACAATTTTTTAGGGGGAGGGAGTAATATCTTCTTTCTATTACATTTGTTTATGTCATAATCCTCTCTATTCTGGAACATTAGAATTCATTCATACTCTTTCGGTCTCATAATTTTTTCCGGATTTGATTTGGCACGATTTTTAATAAGGTAGAACGTATGTAAATCTAATTTGTGTAGAGATAAGAGAAATGAATAAGACCTTAAAAAGATGATGGTATAAAGTCTTAGAACGAGCAAAATAAGAAAGTAAGAAAATAATTGTAGAACAATATTGTCTCAACGAGTAACTAACCATTTGAACCTTAATTGAAAATTCTAATTTAACATTCTATTTATATAAAGAAATTTCATAATTTGAGAAATGTTAAAATCACAAATATTTTAGTCTCAAATTACACAAATTTGTCATTTATGTACCTTACCATAAAATTAAAATAAATAAATAATAATTTTGTGTAGTTTGTGATCAAAATATTTGTGATTCTAACGTTACTTTATAATTAATTGCACTTTAACTCGATAAATAATATCTTTTTCAAATATACACAAATAATTATAAATTAAATGAATAATATATACCTGTCCAAGCTTGGCGTTGGGAAACTTGGCTCTAACGGCGTCTTCAAGCTCCTTCCCAAGCGGGGCGGCGCCGGACATAACGGTCCGAACAGAGGAAAGGTCATAATTGCCCACGTAGGGACTTTTAGCAATGGCCAAAACAATAGGCGGGACAAAGGGCCCAATCGTAACTTTGTACTTCTCAATCAGCTCGAAAAACGGGACGATATCGAATTTGGGCATGATCAAAATGGCCGCCCCGACCCGCAACCCGCATAGCAAAACGGAGTTGAGGGAGTATATGTGGAACAGCGGAAGCACGCAGAGGATCACGTCCTCGTTATGGAAATACAAATTCGGGTTTGGGCCGTCGACTTGCTGG